TGGTGCATCCACTGTGGAAAACAGTCTGACAGTTTCTCAAAAAGTTAAACATAGAATTACCACATGACCTAGCAATTCTACTTTTAGGTATATACCCAAAAGAAATAAAAAGAGCTTTTCGAATAAATACTTGTATACGATGTTCATAGCAGCAGTATTTACAATAGCCAAGGTGAAAATAACACAAATGTCCATCAATGGAGGAACAAAATGTGGATTATCCATACAATGGAATATTATTCAAACTTAAGGAGTAGTAAAGTAGTGATACATGCTACAACATGGATGAACCTTGAAAATATTATGCTAAGTGAAGAAACAAGTCACAAAAGGCCACATATTGTATGATTCCCTTTATAGGTGTGTTCATCTGCTTGAGCTGCCATAACAGTGTAGGTGGATCAAACAACAGAAGTTTATTTTCTCATGGTTCTGGAGGCTGGGAATTTCAAGATCAAGGTGCTGGGAGATTCAGTGTCTGGTGAGAGCTGCCTTTCTGGCCTTCAAACAGCTGCTTCTTGCTGTGTCACATGGCCTTTCTTCTGTACCTGTGCAGAGAGAGCACTCTGGTGTCTCTTCCTCTTCTAATAAGGACACCAGTCCTATCAGAACAGAGCCCCACCCTTATTACCTCATTTAACCTTAATTACCTCCTTAAGTGCCCTATCTCAAAATACAGTCATATTGGGGGTTATGGCTTCAACATATGAATTTGGGAGGTGGTGAGGGGACACAGTTCAGTTTCTAACAATATAAAATATCCAGAATGGTAAAATTTATAGATTTGGAAAGTAGACTATTGTTTGTTAGGGGCTGGTAGGACGAGGGAATGGGAAGTGACTGTTTAATGCTTACATGGTCTTCTTTTGGGGTGACAACAATGTTTTGGAGCTAGATAGAGGTAATGGTTCTACAACATTAAGAATATGCTAAATGCTAATGAATTGTAAATTTTAAAATGTTAATTTTATGTTATGTGAATTTCCCCTCAATAAAAATAAAATGGAAACTTTAAGAAAACAGAGAATAACAAGTGTTGGCAAGGATGTGGAGAAATCAGAAACCTCATACACTGCTGGTGGGAAAGTAAAATGTGTCAGCCACTTTGGAAAACAGTTGGCAGTTCCTCAAAAAGTTAACACAGTGTTACTATATGACCCAACAATTCCACTTCTGTGTATTTACTCCCTCAAATGAAAACATATGTATGTATAAAACTCATATACAAGTACCCTCGTATGTTCCAGCCCAATACTAAAGGAGCTCTGTAAACAGCCTCATCTAACAAGATTGTCATATTTTGATCATAATTTGATACCATCCCATTCATGTCATAGATTATTTATGTTGAATTCTTTGCTTATCATTTTAAGTTATTCCCCATGAGCAAGATATCAATATTCAAAAGTTGCCCATGGACTATTCCACTTACCTTGAGTCTGTTGAGAAGTGTGTTGGGGGAATTGCCCTCAGGGGAAGTGCTGATCTGAGTAACCCCATCTTCCTCTCTCAACTCTGAGAGAGCTACCTTGTTCTGCACTTGCTTCCTCCCCAGAGCCCTGCTTCTCCAGGCCAGAGAAACCAGCATACCATCACCCTCCATCCAGGTGGGCCCCATAATCCTCCACTGCTTCACAGTCTCAATCACCCAGAGGCCCGACCTCCACAGAGGAGCAAGGTGATGAGGAACCACCAGAAGAGAAAACACAATCGTGATGCCAGCTTGCATGGATTATCACAGAATAATACACTGTAATCTGCATAACCATACCATCTTCACAAACCAGACTCTTCCCACAAGGAGAGATCTAGTTTTCTCAAAGTCAAAGACTGTTTTTAGAAAAAACACAGCTGCTGAATGTTCAACCTGTGAAACAGATGTTTCTAGAATGAAACAGTAAATGTGCCTGTAAAAATTTAGTTTTTTCATAGCACAGTAAACTCTGTCTC